TAAAATATATATTAAATTATATTTTTCATATAATTATTATATTACTAAAATTAATATTTAATATTTTATTAAAAAAATAACATATTTTTTTTTAATTTTACAGGCAAATTTGCCTGCTAGACAATCTAAGGGATAATATCTGATAATATTTATTTATTTTTTTATTAAAAGATTTAATGCTTTATTTTTTAAAGGAATTTTTTATTAAGATTGATTTTGTGAAAATTAATTCTTAAATTAGTTAATATAATTTTTTTTTTTGTTATTATATTTTATATACAATTTTGCAATCTTTTTTGTATCAATCAATAATAAAAATATATCACGGAATTATATAGTCTTAACCTTTTAAGAAATAATGTATGTTCTTGCCAAAACTCTTTCAAAACTGGTTTATAATTTAAGTTTGGAAATTTTTATTTTTTTTATTACGTGATGTATCACATAAACAAATAATTAATATTTATAATATTTATAAATTTGCTTTTTAAGAAAGGAATTTTTTGCCATATTGATCTCTGATAAGATTAAAAGGAGGATCTGCAAATCGCCACACTTTTTTGACAATGTATCTTTGACATCGATTAATTACATTAATTACCTAACAATAACAAATAAAATTATGTAAAGTTGAACCTTTTTAACTTCTTTACCGTCGAGTCTAATAATTAGTGATTTTTATAACGAAATATTTCATATGGAGCCCATTGAAGAGGTAAGTTATCTATATATTTATAGCTTTGCGAGGTTCTTTTTTTAATAGCATTTTGTTTTATTAGACTGTCAGAGAAATAAAGTGGAACGTTTTAGAACAATTCTCTAAGGTTGCCCGTTATACACGCAATACAGCTAGTATGGTTTTAATATTAAGTTGAATGGTCTTTACTAAAAAATTGTTGTATCTAAACATATCCTTTCTATTGAACTTCGAAATAAATTCAGCAAACCTACTTGATAATCCATTGGCACGTCCCCTTTTACCGCACCTTTCTTCTGGATTTGTACCGTCAGAATCCACCCGTTCAGTAGTTGATGAATATGATGTTGGAAGAGTTTATTTGGCGAAATGGGCTGCGAGTGTTGCTGAACAGGCTGAGGAGGCGGCCATGTCAGAATATCCTAATCAATCGCGTGAAGAACTATACGTGAATAATTTTAAAAAACGTTGGTCTGATACAGATCCAAGATCATGGGAAGAGGAAACAGAGGTGGGGGCATTTGAAATTTTGAGCGTATGTAATAACAAAAAATGGATTCATCTTTTTAATGGTAGGGACTTTTATAAATCAGTTCATTTACTTAATAATTCTATCATATATATATGAAATAGAATGAAGCGACATTGCCACCATTGCACGCTACTCGCTCGAATCCTCTTAATGCTGAAAGATGGTTTTCTTTTTTTGACACGGAAGGAAGACTCAAAGTAGAATTAAGTGAGGTACAAGAGGCAGTATTCCGAGGGGTAAGTTCTTATAATAATGTTAACCTATTAAATAATGAGATCATCAATATACTACATGTATAATTTGTTTTATATAACTCTAATCGAAGGGTGTTGAAGATGATATTAGAGTTGAAGTTTGGAAATATTTCTTGGGTATTTATTCATGGGATTCAAGTCAAGTAGAAAGAGAAAGTATGTTGGAGGCTAAGGCGTATGTACAAATTATTTTCATTATCATTATTTTTGTTTGTAACATTTTACGATATTTATTTATTATAAAGTCAGCAATATTGGGCTTTAAAACGAGAATGGTGGGATTCAGCTGAGGTACAGGCCGATGAAACTTTTAGAGAACAAAAAACAAGGATAGGTTTGTATTCGTCGAGACTTTTTTTCACATTTATATATATTATTCCATAGATTCAGAAAAAAGCATCAAAAGGTTAAAAATAAGATTTTTTATAGAGAAAGATGTAATTCGAACTGACCGCAGCATATCCTTTTTTGCCGTTGAAGATATTCCTCATCCCGATCCATTATCATCAGCATCTTCTACTCTTACGAACAAGAACCTTGAACTTATGAAAGATATTTTGATGACATATAATTTTTATAACAAAGATCTTGGTTAGTTTTTGACGGGTGGGTTCATACTAGGAAAGTGCTAATAGAGTGATTTTTTTTTTTAAATAAAAAAAACTACTAGGTTATGTTCAAGGAATGAGTGACTTATTAGCACCATTGTTTGTTGTCATGCGTAATGAAGTTACGGCGTTTTGGGCTTTTGTGGGATTCATGAACCGTATGGTATAACCTGTTTAATTAAGTTTTTTTTTTTGCATTCTATGAAGAATAAGCTTGCATGTTTATATTACCTTTTATTATAATAGAAATCAAATTTTTATAGAGATCAAACTGGAATGAGGAGACAACTTTTAACACTTAATCATTTAATACAATTTATGGATCCTCAATTATATAAGCACCTTCGTGAGTTAATTCAATTGTTTGTCATATTTCATATGATTTTGACATATACTCGAATATGTATTGATTCTTATATAACCCATAACTAAATAGAGAAAACCGATTCTTTAAATCTATTTTTTTGTTTTCGTTGGATACTTGTTTGGTTCAAAAGAGAATTCAAATGGGACGAAGTACTTTTTTTGTGGGAAGTACTTTGGTCTGATTATTTGAGTTCACAGTTTCATTTATTCGTAGCCTTAGCTATTTTAGATAAGCATCGGATGGTAATAATGGAGAATTTACAACAATTTGATGAAATATTAAAGGTAATTATATTATAATAATTTATATTATTTAATTTTTTTTATTTAAAATTTTCTTTTTTTTTTAAAAAAAAAAAATGTGTATATTTAGTATGTTAATGATCTTTCAACGACCATTCCTCTTGATGAAACATTATTACGAGCCGAGACCCTTTTTCGTCAATTTCAACGAATGGTTGCTGCTGTTGATAGAAAGAGATTCGGAGCCACGACCGAAAGTTCTAGCGAAAATGTTAGAAGAAGAAAAGGCAAAGAATCCGAAACAAATGGTAATAGTAATGCAGGTGGTTCGTCGTCGCCTTCTAATGCAAATGCGATGAAATTACCCGCAGTAAATGATCTGTTAAGAGAGTTGCTTAAAAAAGAACCTCCCCAAGATTAAGAATGTTTTTTATTATTATTATTATTTTCTTTTTTTAACTTGTTAATTCATTGTATAATATTCCTCAAAGAATAAATAATACTTAAGTGTATATTCCATGAAGTATCTATTCTGTAAAATCTTATGTAAACAAAACATCATCATCTCCAAATTCATTTTTAATATCATAAAAATGATTTTTATTGAAATTAGTCACAATGATGATGTATGCAGTAAAGTACAGAATTATTATTAATTTTTTTTTTTTTTTTAAAAAAAAAAAAGAACATACAGAATGTTGAATATATATATATATACATGTATATGTATGTGAAGAAAAAAAAAAATTTTTTTTTTGATCAAGGATAATTTCAGAATTGGAGGAATATCCATTCTTTTCTTTCGCTGGTTCTTTTAAAATCCCCCAAAGGTACTGTATGTCACTAATAGTCAACAAAAGAAAGTTAAAAGGTGCAGAGATTTAACTCGCTACTTTCAAGTTACAATGACCCTTTACCTGGTTTAAACATAATGCAATGACATGTCTTTCTAGCTTCGGCGCACCCAAATAACCCACTGGGTAATTCTTCAATCGTGATCCCCTTTTTATCAGTGAGACGCAATGATGACGCGCTCACGCGTTGCTTATAACCCGGATGTAACCAAAGTTCCTTTAGGGAAACTGGTAATTGTTCGATATCTTGATCCTCAACTTCATTATGAAGTTTTAATTCGCGGAGATTCGTCAGAGAACGAATCATGGTGCGCCGATGACATTCCCCAAGGGAGCAAGTCTCAACCTCACACGTGCACGAATCTTCCAAACCAGCGAAACAAGACAGGAAGATACAACAGTCCAGGTGGCGTAAACTCCTTGCGTACCGATCGCTGATGATCGAGAACAGGTTCTCTGGACTATCGGTATATAAGTGAAGTATAAGAGTGTGCAATGAAGCTGCAGAATCCGGTAGGATTTGAATCCATCGGTCACCGTACAATTGATAGGTATATTGAGATTCGCAATCATATGCGAGATGATATACGAAACCGGAAATTTTGAGATATTCTAACGTGGACGGTAATTTAAGGTTCTCGTAATTTATTGGTAGGGAAGGGTAGCTAACGGTAAGGTGTGTAAGGGTCGAAGGTAAAGCAAACACATCATCCACAAAAGAACATCGGGAAACGTCAAATCGCTTCAATGATTTAGGAAACGAACTTTGTTCATCCAGTATCAATTGATGCGTGATGTTTAACGAAGTTCCGCCGATCACGTCATAATCTTCGCTTGACAAGATACGATGATGATATTCTAACAAGTCTTGAGCTAAAATCAAAACTTTGATTTGACTTGGAAAACTATCGGTTCTAATGGCTTTAGTCAGACCTGCTGATTCCAACTTGTCACTTGAATTTGATGCTGTATCCTTATAATTTTGACAAGAAATCAGCAAGCTTAATGTGTTTAGGTTTGGTAAATATTCTTCGATCAAACCGGATGGTAAGGGTTGATCGATATGAATCATTAAAGTTGACAAATTCCTAAACTTTCCCAAAGTCAGGGTAAGGAATGAATCATCAACTGATGCAAGTAAAGTTTACAATTATTATTATCATGATCGTTCTTTTTTTTAAAAAAAAAAAAAAAGGTAAAATGATAAAAACATTATTTAAGACTTACTCTTGGAACATTTTACGATCTTTAGTTCAGTAAGTTGTTCGTTAATGTTCAATAACCTGGAAGAAAAAAAAAAATGAAAATCCCATTTAAATGTTAAAATGACGCGAATGTCCACCCATAGGAATTCAATTTTCATTTACGTACCCTTCAATCGTAAGATCCGAGCAATCTTGTAAGGTCAATGATTGTAAGCACGACAAATCACTATTATTTAACCATTGATCGATCCCTGTATCCTGCCATCCTTTATACAAGGAGCGGCTATAAATCACGCTGAGCTTTTGCAAGTTATGAGGGCGAATGTAACGATCTTCCAACCCCTGAGTCTACGAGGGAAAGAAACGCGTATATATTTTCTTTTTTAAAAAAAAATGTTGTGAATCATTATACATTTTTTTTTTTTTTACTCACGTTTGTCTTGCGAAGATCGAGATTCATCTCGCATAGTAATTCAATTAAAATAGCGTTCCATTTTTTACAAGTCAAACGTAAGATTTCCTTTTGAACCTCGGCCGCAATCAACAGATCACGTGAGAAGTTCGAGTCGTCGTCTAACCAATAGTTATGATGAAAGTTATCCCTCCAAACCTTCAAATAATCAACCGGTACGATGAGACTAAAAATCTCTATAAGCAACTCCACGGGTAAATTTTCCACCACTTTGGTCTGACAACGATTATCCATAATCGAATGCGTTGATGATGATGATTTACGATGAAGGTGATGGTGCCGTTTACCGTTAATGATGTGAAATATGTCAAAATTGGAAAACTTTTTTCGAAAATTCTTTAATTTTTGCGCGGTAAACGTTGATCGATGCATTGTTAGAGGAATATAATGATGATTTTTTTTGTCTTTCAGGAAAATGTGAAAAATGCCGTAAAAAAAAAAAATAAAGATAAAAAATAAAAAATAAAAAGGATAAAGGATAAGCTAAAAAAAAAAAAAATAGAAAAAGTAGAAAAATTATGACGGAAGGAAAAATTTCAAACTAAATTTTTTTAAAAAATTGTCAATCCATGTACAATTTGATTGGACCCTTATTAAAAGGTCAAAACAGAGAAAGTTGATGCATAAAAAAGAAGTTTCGAATAGTGTTAATGAAGGAGAAGAAATGGAAGAGGAAATTTTTTATCCTCAATCATCATCAAAGTTTACCATCCGTCATTTTTTTTTTTTATTTTTTTTTTTTTTTACGATGAAACTGGCAAACAACAAAAAAAAAAAATTGTTAAATTTTGTGTCACGACAAAGATTGTTAATAAAATTTTAATTAATTAATTAAAGATTAAAAAACATTAAGGGAAAAAATAAATATTTCGCGCCATAAATTTGGGGCTGAGCCCAAACGTTTTTCGATCCAAGTATTAATATCTTTTTTTTTTGATGACATGAAAAATCATTTGTTTGTTTGATTGATGCATCGCCTTAAATTAGCTACATAAACTTGTTGTCATACAAGAAAGATAAAAATAAAAATTTGATTCAAGCTTTTAATGAGATGATGATTCGAACTCTTTTAAAAAAAAAAAAACTTGCTTTGCTGATCATAAATGATTTTAACAAATAATAATAAATACATCTATCTCTTACAATTGGATCTGGCGTTTGAACAAATCAAATGAATGGTTTTTGGCATTCATTTCGTTATCCTTTTATGCGGATCGAGAAAAAGTAAATTTAAAAGACAGTTCATCCGTCGATGACCTTCAGTCATGACATCGGCTGAAAATCAACGATATCACCTAGTTATTTAATTCATCATTGATAAACATATAATAATCATTTTGCTTTACATAATTCTGAAAAAAAAAAAAAAAAAAAATTCCCAAATTCGAAAAATTAATCGATGTTTTTCTTGAATCATGGTGATCCAATAGAACAATTCGCAATTCTGAATCTCAGGATTAACTCGGTTATATCATTGGGAGTTAACATTACTTTCCTCACTAATACGCCATCACGTGTTACACCGTATCACACATTACACTGTTTGATCTAAAAAATAAAGAGGTCTAGTTTCGTTACACTTATCTGAATATAATTGATGAATGGTAAAGTCATGATGACCAAATTTCTTAAAGAAAAGAAAGAGGAAATCCATTGTAAATGATTTTCCATAACGTTATAATAGCTATTCTTTGGCGTATTGATAAATGCCTTAACCATAAATAGGTAAATTTCTTATCCGCATTATTATTTTTTTTTTTTTTTGACGCGAGAATTTTCATTTACGTTTCTAATAAAATATTCGTTAGTATCTGATTTACTGTATTCCAAATAATGAAGGAGAAAAAGAATTCCAATGTAGAATCCTGTGACATGTAATGATGAAGAATTCTTTCTTTTCTTCCGAAAAGAGATATAATACAGACGATTATTACGTAAAGCTTTTGAAATTTAAAATATGTTGGAAATTATCCGTTCAAATTTTTTTTTTTTAAAAAAAAAAAAACCAATAAGCAAACAAAATTAATATGGAATTCAAACAAGAATTTCTTTTTTTTTTTTAAAAAAAAAAAAAAAAAAAAAAAAAAAGAATAAAAGAAAGAATAAAAGAATAAAAGAAAAAAAGAAAGAATACATTGGATCGAATCTAACACCATTTCTGATTTGATCAACCTAAAAACCAAAATGTACCTTCATTCAATGCATGACAACTTCCAATTTAGTATTAATTAAATGACAAAATTTCATTGAGATGTTATTGACGTTTTTTAATACCGAAAACTTTCTTTCAGAGCAACGCCATGTGAAAATAAAAGAATTACTGATTTGGTTTTAGAAGATTATCTTTTTGGCTTGACCTTGTTGAATTTTAATTGGACAAAAAGGTGCGTAAATGAGTTGAATTTGTTACAAAACTCCGATCGATCACGTATATGATTATCGGAACCATAGGTAATAATAATCCTTATCCAATATCCAGACCTTTGTTTTATTTTCTTTTGGAGCAAGTTTTTCGCTGATAAAGCATAAACATGAAGAAAGGAAATTAATGTTTATCTCAAATAAACCGAAATTAGGACTCTTGAAACCTTTTCTATTATACTAACCATGTGCGGTTAAACCTTTTTCCAGGTAACGATATTCCGAAATTACATGTATTCATTTCGTTCACAAACAATATTAAACATAAATAATGACAAAGGAAATGATTAATAATCCATTAAAAATCTAAAAAATGCTAACGTAATATTACATTCTAACGAAAGCATTAGTTTTCTTACAATTCGGATGATATTCATTCGTCTAATAAATAATGTGAGTTTCTTTTTTCCGAGGAGCCTCAAACGAAAAAGTTTTGTGCTCGGAAAAAATCATGATTTCATAAACCAGATTGAATATATATTTTTTTCAGAAAAGTGGAACCTTTTATTTCGCGAACCGGTTTACAATTATTAAAAATTACTTAATCATAATCATGATTTGAATTTAAATAAAAAAAGTTTACAAGTTCTAGCATTCTTTTTTTTTCCCAAAAGTTTTTTGTACTCCAAAAAAATTTATTGATTTCGCAAACCGGTTTACGAAATTTAGTTTTTTCCGAAGCAAAAAAGGAGGTCACTTTTTTTTTTTTTGGAAAGAATTGGGGAAAAATAACTCGTGATTTCACAAACCGGTTTATTTTAAAGTTTTTCCGAAGCAGAAAAAGTTCCGAGAACAAAAGTTACCTTATTTAAGTCCGAAATTCGTCGAAAAGGTTTTTTTTTTATTCTTTGTTTTCGCAAAAACCGGTATTTTTGATTTTAATTAAAATAAAAAGGTATCTTTTAAGGTTCCGAAGTTCTAAAGCAAAGAAAGCCTTTTTAAGTTTCGGAATTCGCGACCAAAAGAAAAAAGTTGTGCATCTCGAAAAAAAACTCGTGATGCAAAACCGGTTTTAGAAATTTCATTTTACCATATTTAAACCTTGTTTTACCATATATTTATCATATATCTTATGAAGTGTGTATGCTAAATATACAACATACGTGTGATATTTCAAAACCCAAGATCGATCTTTCTTTTCATATACTTCATTGAATTTCTTATTTCATTGGTTTGTATCCTTTTGAAAATGAACAAAAATCAAGTATGATACATTTCGATCATGATAAATATTCTTGATATGGTTGGTGTTATATTATAAAGAATTCTGGAAGGACAAATAAATTGTAAATCAGAAAATACGATTGATTATTGTTATTATTAGTGTTGATAATATTAAAAAAAAAAAAAAAAAAAAAAAAAAAAAAAAAAAGGAATAAAGGAATGCCATACATCTATATGCAAGATAAGGAATTAAATCAATTTCTCCCAACTTTATATGAAATTCCAAATTCAGATTAAATCAGCAAAAAAAATCCCGATTAATGATTAGCATATCCTAATTGATTCTCCGAAAGTACTTTTTTATTTTTTTTTTATTTGTTTCTTGTCTCATCATAAAGAAGAAAGAAGAAGACAAAACAAAAAAAAAAAAAATCTCAAAATATTCTTTTGAATTGAGAAATTTCTCTCTCCCGCATAAAAAAAAAAAAATAAAATAAAAATAAATAAATAAGATGTAGAATTCCTATTCGTTAGGTTTCATTTAAAGTTGCTCACAAGTTGAAAATTTAATATCAAATTCAGTTTTGTGATAATATATTTTTTTTTTTTTCATTTCTCCTTTTTTTGGTTCATTGTTAATTTTTTTTTTAATTAAACCTATTTTTAAATCGCAATCGTCCTTTATTCATTGGACATCCCTTTCATGCACGACAACAACGCTTCGAAAATTCTCACACCATTTTATTTATTATTATTATTATTATTATTATTATTATTATTATTATTTTTAAACTTTTTTATTTTTTTATTTTTTTTTGCAATGATAACAATAAACAACAAAAATACCGATGACCGCAAACTAATACATGAAGCAATGAATACGACATTGCAGCACCAATACATCTAATTTTCAATAATATCTTTCAGAAATGGCAAAAAGGAAAAGAAGGATACCACTTACACACGATACACCTCATTACCATTTATGAATTAAATTGTGACGGAATTTCTAAATTTAACAAGGGGATAAGCTCCCTTCAGATGAACGTTTAGGCACCCCAATTTCCGGTAATTCAAAAAAAAAAAAATTAAATAAAAATGATTTCATAGGAGCACAGAAAATGAAATCTCAATCGCTCAACTTTCATTCGAACCCAAGATGTGATGGTGCCTTGATGGGTATTACACAATGCGGTTAGCAACGTATGTATTGTACGGGTTTTTTTTTTTGAATGTATTGTATGGTATGTATGCTTTAAAAACCATACATGTATGGTTTTTTCATCCATACTTGTATGGTTTCTAATACCATACGTATATGAAGAAAAACCCTTACATTGCTAACCGTACCGTACAGGTTTTGCTACATTCCCTGCCTTGATCAGACGACATTTTCAAGTTACAAATACGGCGTAAAGAGAATCCCTCGACGAACAATAATCTACATGTCACCTCTCTATTTTGATTTTTATGTTCTTACCACACGCATAGGCACACAATATTTAATAATTTGAATCAATTATTTATTAATTTACATTTTCATTCGATGAAAACAAATTGAATTCACCCATTGTTTAGAAACAATACTTAAAGAAGGATTTCTTGGATTTTAATTTGTTGCGTGTGTAATGAAACAGAACCTTTCCAAAAAAAGTGATTAAAAAAAAAACAAAACAAATTAATAATATTCATGATGATAATCTCTGTGATCAATCGCGCGTGCAAAAAGGAAACAACCAAAAAGATTTGCCCCCGTAAATTATAATGACCGAGTAAAATACCAATCAAACTTAAATAGTAATAGTTACCGATCGCATGGAAACACACACTTTTTTTTTGAGTAACGTCGGATTATGTCAGTGTTATTGCACCAATCAATGTGATGTGACAATATCGAGTTGTGATACGAGACCGTCGTTTCATCCGAGGATCGTCCCACGGGTAAATATATCACCAACCGTCTTTTTGTGATATTTCCTTTTTGACCAAATTTTTCGCGTCAATAGGTTCAAAACAAACAGTATACCTCCTGATTCCTCCATCCAATATTGGTAAGTTTCAATGATTTGTATGAGGTAATCGATAAACAAATATGATATTTTTTTTTTCTAATCTGACACATGATATCGATCGGTCGGATTTACGAAATTCACCAAAAAAAATTGACATAAATGAATCTCCAAATGGAGCAAGGATGAACCTATTAACTAATTTAATACAATTAAAAAAATTTTTTTTTTTAATTTTACAAAAATATAAATGATTTTCAAAATCTAGACGTACTTCCCGACCTCCACCTTATTAAATGTATTCAATATTTATGGTTAGATCTCATCCCCCCCTCATGATGATATTTCTTTCAAAACGGTAAGGTAGATTTCATTTGTTGTGATTTACCAGGGGCCACCAAAATCCGCGGCTCAAGGGTGAACTAAAATGTCAATTATGAATGAGAAAGATTTTCCAAAATCACCGGGTTCGCATCCTATTCATTAATCGGATTAATAAGGAAGGAGCGTGAAAGATGATGAAGATATGATTTGTCAATTGTCATGTTCTCGGATGTACGAAATGAAAACCAATGAACCAAAAACAATGAACTAATTTTATTTTTTTTTTGAAAAAGGGTCCCGGAAAGGTATGAAGTGATTATATCATCATCATACATTCCTGAAAATTAATCGTCACTCATGATTTAGAGACGAGAAAAAAAAAAAAAAAAAATTTGCATGTCAATTCTTTTATTTTTTTTTTATTTATTTTTTTTTCTTTCTTTCTTTCATATGCAAACCGAATCCTGTGTATCGATTAAATATGCTCGTGAGAATTAATAATCAGGAATCCAGCGGACGTTTCCGCGAATTACATACAACCACCAGAATAATTGGTGTTAACCCGTAAAGAACATTACACCGCAGCATTCATTCTTGCCAAACTTTAAATAGAAAAAAAAAAAAGGAAAAAGAAATATAAAAAGGATATAATAATATAATTAGTTACATGGATTGTTGTTGAATTTAACCTTAATTGATCTCATTCAAAAACTTCATAAACGTTATGGAATTAGATCTGATAGCTTGATAAGCAAAACCCAATAATCCAGATGGCATTTCGTAATCGCCCCCCCTCGCTCTTGATTTAAACTGTCACATATCACATCATTTTACTTCATCATCTTTTTAATAGAACGCATTCCTGTTGTGATTCCAGGCAAATCCATAGAAAGGATTCAGACCAAGAAAATCAATGCGCAACATTGCGCGGGTACACAAACACAACACAATAATCCCCATCAATCGAGAAACAAAATAATAACATTAATAATGTAAAAACATTTTGCGTAACATTGCGCAGGCATTGCAAATTACTATCAATCGATAATAAAATTTGACGAAAGATAAAAAAAAAAAAATATACAAAGAAGGAGCATAATAATAATAAAAAGAAACGATCGCTTGGATTGCGCAAAGTCGCGCAAGCAACATCAACCAGTCAATCACATTGAGCCAAAGTCATTTCTTCAAAGGAAGAAGAAGTAGGAGAAAAAAAAAAAGATTGTGGCTATATTTTGGCTATAATTTATCATCATCATCATTAAATGTTTTAGATACAACAACGTGGCATCAATCAATCAATCGATTTCAAGAAATTTACCATTTCGCCTTGTAAAATATTTTGGTCATTCACAAAAACTGTCCTTGCGCCGCATTGAACAAGCCGATTATTGTTTACAAAATGCAAGGATTCCAAGGAAAAAAAAAAAAGGATGAGCTTGTTGATGAGGCTTGTTTATTTAGTTAAGCCAACGTGGGGGCGACGCACGCATTCAAATCATTGATTGTTTTGATCTGTTTGTTGTTTTGTTTGTCACTGCCACGCGAAAAAAGAGTGAAGACGCGTAAAAAAATGTTTTGTTGATGGATTGGCGGTGCGAAGGGGCGCAGCAGCCAAGGTAGCGTAGTCACTGCGTTTGGGTGTCAATCACCTACCTAATCGCCATAATCGTATCCAAATAGAAATCCCTGTTATGATTATTTTGGATCAACAATCGCACAAAAGGACGAAAACTGGTCAATATTTTGTAAATAAATATATCAAAACGAGTCACATCAACTTAAAAACAAATCACATTGTGATAAATCTAAAAACAATCTAAATTCCCTTCCGATTAACAAACAAGCCTTAAATATATTTCGTGTGACTTTTATATGGGACTTTCCTTAATCCCGTATCACGGATAAAGATAAATGACAAATTATTTAAAGATAAGCGCGTGATATATTTAACTGTTGTATTCTTTTACCTAATTCATTGACGGGTTGTATCCCACAGTATTTTCAAATATTTGAAGTGATTTTTCGGAAATAACGGGTGATTTCATTTGAGTCCTCAAAAAAAAAAAAAAAAAAAAAAGTGTTACACAACGACGAATGTTCGCTTAACCGATGAAAGGGGAATGCGAACCCCCAAAATGGTTGCTCCTCTGTTTTGTTTTATCATTACTTGTCGTTTTGAACCAGACAATACTTACGAAATCCCCATGGCGAGAAATAAAAGGTCAATGCCAAGAAAATGATCATTGAAACACGGAAGTCGGTTGAATTAACCTGAAAGGATTGGAATTATCTGTAAAGGTTAGCGTTAAAAATAGAAAATAAATTAACTCGCGGAAGCTAACTATATCGTACACAATCAATGACCAAATAAATCAAAGGTTATTAACCATTCAACTATTATAATAATTCCAAAAATGTTTAAAATGCTTCTAGATAACGCAAATTTTCCGAACCGAAGAGAGGAAAAAAAAAAAAAAAAAACTCCTTTGTGTGATACCCCTTAGTTTTACATTTTTTCTTGAAATAACAATACAAAAGAGAAGATTAATTTCATCTGCACGTGGTTTTTTTATGGGCAATCCCCTGTTTGGCAAATTTCAAATCGGTTATCAGTGAAAAATTTGTAGTATTTGCCGTAATCACCTTAATTTGATATCGCAAAATCAAAAAGGGTGATTATATCATATGGATCCCGCAATTGAACTCCCTTCCCTTTCAAGCTTAATAATAATCAATTATCATCAACTTTTTCGCGTCAAATCAAATGACAATAACAAAACACATAACCGAATTGCCACACCAATAACATTCCAAATTAGAATATGTGGCGCTCCTTTTCCTTGATCCGTTGGATCTTTGTAAGAACATTAGTAATTCATTCAATTTAAAAATCGATTGGAACATTCTTTACATTCCACGTTTCACCTTTCCGTTGTGGCGATGATGTTTGATATTCCCATAAATACGACGGGGTTGGTCGCACTATCCTACCCTTTTAATTGTCTGATCGCGACCTGAAGAATCTTTTTATTCTAATTTCCTTATATGGAGATTGCTTGACCCATGCCACACATGAATTCACATTTGCGGCTAACGCAATTGAACAATTGAAAAAGTAACATGCAACATGGCGCAAAAAAAAGAAGTGAGAGAAAAAAAAAAAAACAATAATTTAGAATACTCTGATACAATTAAGTTACATCATGATAAATTGGGAATTCATTAGTTAGTATGGATGCAAAGGTGGAGATACAACGTAAACACTTATTTATCAATAGAACAATAAATAAAAATTTTGTATATATATATTTATTTAGCCACATCAAACCGGAATTTATGGCTTGAAAAAAAACGAGATTTTCATTTAATCCCTTCATTCATGAATGATATTTGTGTGACATGCAATTGGAATCGAATGTTTTTAATTTGACAGGATTCTTTTCTTATTATTATTATTTATTTAATACAATAAAATAGAATATAATAAAATAACAAAAAAAAAAAAATAATAATAATAATAAATAAAAATAATAATCGGGATTTATTTCTAGAGAGAATTTTTTTTTTTTTTTTTTTACACCAAATTTGAAAGATTATGATTATGCGATCTTAATATGGTAACTTTTAATAAGGGTGATGATATACAAAATACTTCTTGTCTATCATCCAAAAACGAATTAAAAACTCCTTTATTGAACATATTTAAAATGGAAGATTTTTATCACATATTTGTTTATGTCATACCGTTCGATCATGACTTTCTCACCAACACTAACCATCTACGGGAATTTCTTTCAACTAGACTAGCTAAATGTACTTTTTGATCCAACAATTATTTAAATTGTTATACTGCAGTTGATCTTTTGGTTGATAAAAGAAGCTAAGTCGGCCGAAATTTTTTGATTGTGTGATGTAAAATTTACAACACTATTTGTCATAGTGTTATGTAGGTGATCTTACACCCCTACCAAACACTTGGTTAGGATGTTACTTTTTATTTAAAAAAAAAAAAAAAAGAATGTGATCAGATCGGAGTTAATGATTAAACGATTACGAATCAACTCCTGAAAAACCTTTTTAAACTAGAGAGATTTGTTTTTGAGTTCAATGTTGACACATCAAAGAAATCAACCGATTTACCTCGAACGAACCAATGAAATCCAGCTTTGCGATCAGACCAATGGACATCAATTTACATATAAACGAGGCTGAAATTGGCGTTCATTACAATATCACTTTTTCATTACGTAGAAGATACCTTTTCACCATGTTCAAAAAGGTCAATAAACCTGCGTGATACATAATATTCGGGCGAAATGGATGAACGCTTTGTTCGGTCAGAAACATGCGAAAGGAAGCGTAGATGCAGGCATATAACATGCAACAAAATGCAGTGTCTAAATAAAGTTATCATTATAAATACTTTGTTCGGAGTTTACGGAGTTTAATCGAACTCTACTCGTAAACTCAGATGAGCAAACATTTCCCAAATGTGGATAGTTGATAGGCGTGAAGAGATCGATCTCAACCGAGAGCCAAAAATTATTATATTACTATTTTTTTTTTTTTTTTTCCCCTACTCAAAATACTTACCACGTTGGTTATGTTGTTGACAAACGGATGTTCAAGTACCCTGTATATATAAAGAAGTTCATTATAAGTAAATTAATTTCGATTACATACATGATACTTTTTTAAAATCATCCCCTTTGTAGTTCTTACTTTTATTTCTTTATTTCATATTCTGATTGTCAATTAATCTTATTTCCTAATATAGAACCATTATTTACATTGATCGAATTTTAAATTTTTCTTCGTTTTGAGCAACTATAAGGCTTCATGAATAAGGGTTCCAGAATTTTACAAAACATAATCAACATCTATCTTTGTTCTCACCAATATAAATTTTCGTCCACAACATGATAATCCATTCAATGTGAAACTCTCTTTTTTATTAAAAAAAAAAAAAATAAAAAAATTACAGATAATGGTAAGCTATTTATTAGAAATCCATTTGTCTTTCCGTAGTCCTTTATGCTAAAAATAAATGCCCGAAAAGAACCTCGTCATTTCGTATAATCAAAACAATCTATTTACGTTCTTTTCTTTAAATGGAGGGGAATAATAGGAAAGGGGAGGAATTTATCGGGTCGGTCATCGCAATTAATTTACCCTTCTTTCCTTCTATAAATAGGGAAATTTGGCTGTGTTGTTTTTTATTTTCATTAGTTTATCATCTTATTTTACAATAACCAAATGCATTTTATCACCTCCATTATGACAATGTTATCACATCATTTTTTATCACCTTAATCACCAATATTAATATATATTTGACTGTCAATAAAAAGCGAATTATTAAAACCTGGTTTTTTTTTTTTTCTTTTTTTTTTTTTTTTTTTTATATATATATTTTTATAATAAAAGAATAATTCAAAAAAAAATTTTTTTTTTTATCAATCAAATATTGAAGAAAAGTCGAAATAATATATATATATATAATCTAGATTGTTTATTAAAAAAAAAAAAAATCCTTTGTACTTCTTCTTAAACAGTTAAAACAGTTTTAACTATAAATATATAATCATTACTTTAAAAAAATTATAAAGCAGCTTGGATTCTTTTTATTCTTTTTTTTTTTTCCTCCTTCTTTAAAAAAAAAAAATTAAAATATAAAAATAAAAAAAAAAAATCAATCCTAAATATCATTTTTTTTTTAACTTCGTTTTTTTTTTTTTCTTACTGGTACCTTTTTTATTCTTAACAAATTAATTTGTATTATACTTTATTTCTTTTTATTTATTTTTTCTTTAAAAAAAAAAAACAACGTGGTTTTCTTACAATCGGAGTTCTGTTTCATTTTTTCGCGTTTATAATAAATCATTCTCAATTGATTATATTCAAATTTTCAATTTTTTTTTTACTTCCCTTTTTTATTTAAAAAAAAAAAAAATTTTAAAATAACTCTTTGTCGAATCTTTACCAAAAAAACTTTATAACAACATATTCTTTAATATAAAATTGTAAATACCAAAAAATACATACTCACCGGTTTGAGAATTCTCTTTAAACGAATTAAGGATTTAAATTAGCCTATTATCACACATCATTGTTCAAACAGTTCAGACTTCTTTCAACACATTATATTGCACCATAATGACTTCCACAACTTGTTTTTGGTGCCTTTTATCATTAAAAGATCTAAGCTTCGTTTATCTTTCTTCATGGCTTTCTAAAGCCCTTGGTCCGGAGCATGATTTAATGTTAGGAACCTCATTTTTTGATTATTTTCATCCCGAAGAACAAGAATTGGCGCGTCGTGATTTGACTGAATTCGTTAAAAAGAAAACTTTGACTTGTTCCGTGACAAGGTTGGTGCTCGACTATAACGCGTTTTCCTTTAGAAAATGCACGTGATTTCAGTTAACCTAACAATAACGTTAACGATTTCTTAAAAAAAAAATTTTTGAAACAATAGATGTCAATATAATTCTATTCAAGCCATAAAAAACAAGTTACAACAATCTATGATTCCTTCGTCGAAATCTTTTCAACAAATGACACAATATTCTCCTGTTTCATCTACAATGACGTCGCCCACTTCTGTACAGACCACCAATGATGAATTTATAATCATGAATGTTGGAATGAACGTCGTTAGTCAAGATATTGTATTGGCCTGCTTCCATTCCGATGGTATGTAATTGTAATTGGCCAGCTCTAGCGTTCAAAAAAAAAAAAAATTTTTTATTCAATATTACCTTTTTTTATCACCTTTTAAATTGGGGAAAAATTTTTTTTTTTTTTTTTTTTTTTAAAAAATTCATTCTAATTCTAATTCGATCATTAGAGGACAACTCGAGATGTGTATCCGGTATATGTGGCGAAACGGAATTCACCGAGGAGGTATTTATATATTTTTTAATTTTATCTTATTAAAAAAAAAAAAAAGAGTAATATATCGTTTCGCACGCTAAATCGAATCATTCCTTTTCGGATGTTTATTAAAAAAAATCATTTTTTTTTTTTTTTAAAACTTTATTTTTATCCAATCAATTTTTTAGGAAATAGATAAATTAACGTCCCTTATGCACAAACATGTGGCAAATGGATTGTCCAAGGTTCAAACGCCACCCTCTACACCATTTTCCGAGAATTCTTTTAACGGTAACAACGACGAAACGCCAAATCGTATATTTCAAATCTTTGATAGAAAATCTCTGGATTTGATTTTCACATGGCCACAGCCATTTTCCAATTTCGACTCGACCGATTCAACTTCAGATTTATATAACAAAGATGATTTCTCAAGACTTTTACAAGATGTTTTGATGACAAAAAATAATCATGCTGGGATAAATAGAAATGGTTCAAATGATCCTGATAAGAAGACTAATAAGGCGGACGCCGGGTCACCGAATTGTTTAAAGCTCGTTTCTGATAAACATATTATATTGTTATCTTCAGGAACTTATCGTCAAGTTGAAAGTGTGGTAATCTCTTATGGTGATATTATTTTCTCTTACTTTCAAATCCTACCTCCCGCTTCTTCAAAAGTTTCATTGGGAGTTTCTTCAGCTTTCATTAAACCAAAATCAAAATCAGCACCTTGTTCACCCGCTACTACAATTAATGATAGTAATTGTCCTGTCAAAAGGCCTAGATCGCCTGGATCCCTCTCTCCTTTGTCGTCTTCTTGCATTAGTTCTGAGATCCACCATTATGTTCAAAATTTTACTTATTTACAAGACGACGTTCCTGAATTCTATCTTAACCATCGTACCAAAAAACATCGAGTTTCTGAACCACCTTCTGCGTCAATTGGTTCGTCTGATAATGATTCAAAAGTACATCTCGTGAACGGTTCACCTTCTCCGACTCATTCTCCTCGTAAATTGTCCCGTTTATTACCTTCATATCAACCTCCTTCTCCCTCATATCAACTTAATTCCCCACCATATCAGGGTAATCCTTCCTCATATCAAGGTAAAAACCCTTCATATCAAAGTAAAACCTCTTCATATCAACCTATCCTTCCTTCACAACAATTACGACACATACAACCTTGTCCTCCTCAAATCACAATTGCAAAAGACCAAAAAGCTTCACAACACCCGCAACAATCATATCATCCTCGTATTCTCCCAGCAACACAACCTTCTTCTCAACAACAGCAAAGCTATCCTTCTCCCACAAATCGTCCTGCTCCATTCTTGACACAAAATTACCCTCCCGTGTTACCGCGTCAACAACCGTCCTCACAATCGTCATCTGCGGCTAACCAAACTCGACGGTTCTCCCAATTCTCGCCTCATCAACGTCGAACCAGTAACAACAATAAGAATACTAGCGGCGTTAAGAAATGTGAAAGTTGTCATACCTCTTCTAGTCCTGAATGGCGCCGAGGTCCAACTGGACACAAGACGTAAGTATCGCAACGCAAAGGTTTTTTTTTCCCCCTCGGTTTTTCCTCCTTGAATATATTTCTGATAATTCACCATTATATACAGCTTATGTAATGCTTGCGGGTTGAGATATTCTCGTACTATTGCGAGAGAAAATCGCAAAAGAGAACAAGCTCAACGTGATCAAGAACAACGTCAACGTGAGCAAAGAGAACGCGAAGAACGTGCTCGCGAGAGAGCCGCTGCGATGATGATGCAAAGAGTAATCGAACCATTTTCTCAATATAGACCGGCTATAGTAGCCGTTTCGGGTCAACAGGCTTCTCCAACTAATTCTCCTATACCACCACCATTTCATTCATCGTCTTTACCATCATTAATTCCTCATCCTTATTCTTATCCTTACCCTCTTTCCCATTCTCATTATCATCGTCATCGATTATCTCCACCAACTTACCCACGAACTTCTCATTACTATCATCAACCATCTTTCACACCAGCGTCTCATTATCATTACCCAGAAACATCTCATTATCATCACCATCATATTCATCCTACTCAACTCCCACCTAATTATCCTCAGCAACGCCAATTGGATGTTTCACAACCAGAAGATTTAACTGCTTCACATGATTACAATTTACCTCGGCCAAATTATTTTGAAAGACAACAAAGTGAATCATGTGCAAGTACTATTAATAATAGTAGTTATCAAACGGATGATTCTGATGATCATCGCAGATCACAACTTATGACAACCGCTAATTATTTGTATCCAAAAGAAGCCTACTTCCACCGCAATCAATAAGTTTTAGCATTTAAGCATTTTTATTTTATTTTATTTTATTTTATTTTTTTTCTTTATTTTTTAGCTTACATATGGATACAAAAATTTATAAATAAGTTTAGTTATATGAATATTAGAATATTAGTGGATTAGTGAGAGAATAAAAAATTAGTAAATAGCACACGTAAAGACGTATTATTTATTATTAAAATCATAATAATAATAATAAAATAAAGAAAAGGAAAGAAGGAAAATCGGGAAATAATGATTTTATTGCAAAATTAATATCCATCTTTACACATTTATTCATATTTTTTTTTTTTTTTCCTTGCATTATGATTTCTTTTTTTTTGTATATTCCCTTTTTCATCTGTAAATTTTTCCCCTTATATCTTAAGTGAGTGTCATTATTTAATATTATTTTATTTTTATTTTTTTTTTTTTGTATTATTAAATTATCTTATTAGTTTTTTTTTTCAACACTTTTATAATTAATTATATATATTATCTTTATTATTTTCGAGAAACAAAAATGATGATTACACGAAAATCGTGATATTAACGAAAAGTTTTGTATACATGGTGCAAAAAAAAAATTAATTCCAACATAATTTACAAAGATGTATAATGAATAAAATTAATACGCATAATCTTCATATATCGATCAAATTTAATAACTTTTGAAAAAGTGTTGGTAAATGAAAATCCTCTTTTAAATATGGTTAGATGTGCGAAATTAAATTAATACCTAAACTTCGTAAACTTTGAATGGAAAAATCAAATATTAAAAAAAGAGAAAGACGAAAAAAAAACCCCTCCCCCCCTTCTTCCAAATAGATAATCGATACAAAAAACAGAGAAAAAAAAAATAATTTACACTGAATTTTTTTTAATGCGCCCGGAGTGGGGCTCGAACCCACGGCCTTAAGGTTTCTAAGATGGTCTTAAAAGCCTCACGCTCTACCGACTGAGCTATCCGGGCATTTCATGTGATTGAGTTAATATGTTTTAATATTTATTAGTTTTAAGATTTTTCGCGCAGCTATTACTATTACGGTTAAATGAATTCTTTCCGAAATTTGAAAAATTGGACTTTGGCATAATTTTTTGATAGTATATATTAGTAAAGCAAAAAAAAAAAATCAAATTTGATAGTTGATATGATCTTATTGGTTTTCAATTAATATTATTCAACAGTGATTTATTATCATAATTAAATGTCTTGTTTATTACCATAACACAATCTAGGGATTTTCTATTCAAAAATCCAAAATAATGTTTATATTAATTGTTTAATAATATTATTAATGAAAATTAAAGATCAAAACCGGCTAATATTCAATTACTGGGCTTCCTATAAAAAATTTTATTATTGGGATTTTAAGATTATAAAATCCGCGCATTTATGAAAACAAAACATATTATATTACAACTTTATAGAATATATATAAAATTTTATGATATTTAACTTCATCAAACATTATAAATAAGTAATTTCATCATTTTTTTTAAACTTTTAATTTTCTTTTTAAAGTAAAACTATTTATATTTAAGAAAAGTTTGTGAGAATTGATAATAACTTTACAGAAACTTAGTTTTCTTAATACACAGTAACTGTAAAGTAACTATATAATAAATATATAATTACTACCTTACTTAGTAGTAGCTTAATTGCAGCTTAATATGCACTATGCAGTTACTATATTAAGAAAACAAAGTTTTTGTAAAGAAATAACTTTATCTGTCTTCAAATTATTATGATACTAAAATATTTATTACAGATGTAATAAAAAGAAATAATACTAAGAAAGTTTTTTGCTATCAGATGTACTTGTGATATATAATTACTATAGTCTAGATCATTTAATCTATAATACTTTTTTCAATTAATTCAATTAATGCTAATTAATATTTACAAATAAAAACCATTAATTCATATTTTTATTTTTACTTAAGAAAGTACACATTTTTAAGTAAGATCAACTTAAGTGTATTTATTAGCTTTAATTGTAATTTTAAATTAATATTTACTTTATTATAATATAATATATCATTCACATTAACTATTATACTAATTTTTAAATAAATATATTCATCCTCAACTATAATATACTTTTTCAGATTATTAAATTTATTAGTTTTACAAATTTTTTTTGATAATATAGAGATGAATTTTGTATTAAAATTTGTTTTTAAAATTTATTAACTTTTAGTTTAACTATAAATAAATTAGAAATATGAAACCATTTGATATAATATAAAAATAACAATTTCAGATTTCTTACCAAATTTTTGTCTTATTGAAAAATAAACAAAAAAAATAAATATCAAATTTTAAAAAACAATAGTAAATCACATTCATGTAACTAATTATTATGATGTTTACTTCAATTTTCATCTAAATTAAATTAGATTATTAAAAAATATTTTAATATATTATGATTCATTTAAATGTCTTATTTTCTATTTTATAAAAATATTGCAATATATAATAAAAACTAAAAAAAAGAAACTATTTAATAGAAATGTATTAAGATGAATCTTAATTTTTCATCTTTTTTTAAAATATTCAAGTTAATTTTATATATTTATCATTAAAATTAATCTTTAATTATATTACATATCTTGTTATCAATAAAAACTTTTTCTATTTTGATTTTATATTTTTTCACTTATTATCTATTAGCTATTATTATTTAAAATTAAAATTTTTTTAGATAAATAATTTCAAGAAGTAAATATAATAAAAGCTGATTTTTTGAAAAAGGTTTATATTAGAATTATTGACTATATAGGGGCTAAGCTATTAAAATCACCTTACAGGATAAGAAATTGATTTTGAGTAAATAATGATTAAAAAAATGCTATGCCACAGTAAACATTTTCAACCAATAATAAATTGTTCTATTTTTAAATATTAAGTCAAATTAATTATTAAGACGATA